CCCACCACATCTGTCCTCTCTCTCCCTCCACCCCTCAGGAGGCTCTGCCAGGCTCAAACTTGCTGAGTCTGATTTCATCAATCTGAGGTCACCTGGGACTCTGAGTTAAAAATCTAAGAATAGATAAGGACCGCCATGACTGCTGGGTAGAATCCATTACTGCTATTACTCTCTTTCTCTTTCATGAGCCCCTCCTCTTCTCATTTCAGTTGAAGAAACTGGGACGATGCTGCCTCAATCTGTAATCCCCATTCGCCGGCCTTGATGCAGTACATGTTGCATCTCTTCGGCCAATTGATTGGTTCCAACAAGGGAACTGAACTCAGTCTATGTCAGTGAGAGTCAACTGAGCTGTTTCCTTTGGGAGATTAGCACAAGCCCCTCCTTAATCACTAAAGGAAAATAATCTTGGTCTTAAGCTTCTGGTAACCGTAAATGACCCAAGGAAAGAAAAGCCTGATGAAGAACAGAGAAGATTGAACAGGAAAAACAGTGGAATAGAAAATATGTTTTGTATAACATTATCCAAAAGCCTGTACCAAGCTACGCCTACGGCTGGCTGGCTTCACAGCACGCCATCTCTTGAACCAGGAAAGGGTCACTCTTATCAGTTTGAATTGGATTTTGGTCTGTTGTGAGCAGAGTAATTATAATGAGGACATTCCTTGAATCTGATACATGGACCGCACTGTCTTCAGCAACAAACAAAGAAACGATTCTCTGGAACATTCGCAGCGCCCCTTTTTCTCAGCCTCCCCTGCCTTTCTCACTCAGTCTCCACCTGCGTGCCTGCCACCTGTTCTCTCTGGATCTTGTGCCCCTGAAGTTCCAGGTCTGACCCGTGTGGAGAAAGACAGGAGGAAGCTGACACAGCAAGTTCTGAGAAGAGCTCAGCTCTGATCTCAACTCACTTAGAGTTGAGAACTAAAGCCAACTGCATCTGCTGCCTAGTAATGCTACTAGGACCCATGTAAGCACTATTCTCAGGCTGTGAAGTTTAACAGGGTTAGTCATCTTTTCATTGTCCTGCTTTTCCCCATATATTTTTCAGACACTTGGAGCTCAGCCTGGTCTAAGCCCCTGAAGCTGCCAGCAGAGATGGATGTAGTGAACATGCTGGCTGCTCACCGCCCCATCTATCTCAGGACCGGTGACGCCATTCAACCTTTCACTGCCCTCCTCCTAAAGCCCTGCCTGCTTATGACAATCAGAAGGCCTGCTCTGTCTCATTTCCTCTAACTGCAGAGAGCTATTGTGGATTTCAATAAAGTAAGAGAAATACACAATAAAAGAGTCATGTTTAAATTTGCTGGGCAGCTCTTTCAATCTTCAGAGCTATAGGGCAATTTAAAAACACAACTCTGAGGAGCAGGTAATTTGTTTGTCGTAAGTGGAGGAATCGTTTCCTCTACTATCGACGCACATCAAGGGCAATCTTATCTGGACCCTGCTCATCTTTAAGACCATTTTCCTGTTTCGAAAAGCAAGCAGTTAGGAAGCAAGGAAATTAAATGTAATATAGAAGGGCCTCCAGTGCTTTCCTCAAAAGCAACACATAAATCAATAACCCGGGAGGTCACCATTCACCTAAAACTGAAGACTAGTTTTCATTGTCCAGAAAATGGAGCATGCATGGTTCTACATGACTACGATTATGCTTTCTTAACTTTGAAGTCATTTGCTCTTCACACATAAAATATTTAGACAATTACACAGTAAAAATATGATATTTTCTAATTCTTCAGTCCCTTGAATGCTCATAGAATATTTAATAGTAGAAACTAATATGTTAGAATTTGACAAATTGAAAGCTAAATATCCATGAAGAATATAAAGACATGAGATACTACACGCAATGCCCTTAAGCTACATTACATCTATAACAAAATGAACCATTAAGTAGCATGCAAAAATTTCATGTGGATTGACAATTTACTTAGTAATCCATCCTGCAACCTAGCCACTAGAAGACTGGACTATTTTTCCAAATCAAATTAGAACAGCAATCATCACCTATAAATAGCAAGGAGGTAAAATTCTTATTTTTAAGAACAAAAATTATTAGGCAAAAGATGATTTAAATAAATTTAAATCAAGTTGATTTAAATAAAATGCCTTAGGTAGGCACAGGGCAGTTGAATAGAAAATGTAGCCTGCAAAATTAGGTTATATAAAATCATTAAATATTCCATGTACACAAATAGAATATTAATGATTATTTAGATGGCAGAAAAGTAAAATTTTAGCCATGTCGGCCCCACCCATGAGACTCGCTGAGAAGGCAAATGAGACTGGGCATGGTGGTGTGCACCTGTAATCCCAACACTTGGCAGGCTGTAAACAGGAGTATCACTGTGTGTCCGATCTAGTAGTGAGACCCTGAACACCCTGTAGACCCTTCCCTAAAATACAGAAAAAAAAGAAAAAATTTAAAGAGATTATCACTCTATATTATTAAGTATTATGGCCTATACTCAAAATTTTAAATATAAAAGAACTCACAGTAAGAGAAGAAACTATAACATCTCTTCTACAACAATAATATTAAAAGTATAACTTTCAATGCAGAATACGTATAATAAATGTTTTATAAACTGTTACAAACTGCTTTAAAACTTACATTGCCTCTGTAAGTTTACTGAAAGAAAAGTTTGTACATAAAAACAATAATTATAAGAAAACACATGTCAGTCAGTCACTTTGCAACTACTGTTTATCATTATATAGTTTTTGAATCCAAGATAATAATACATATTTCCTTCAATGCTCATTTTAAATATAACATTGTCAATACTTCCAGTAAGAAAATATATTCAATGTTTTAAGATAATTCTTAGCCCCATTTCAAGTATGTGCTTCTTCAAAATACTATTTCTCATAATTTTCAAACACATATCCTTTCTTAGATTATTTTGGCTAATAAGTATTACTGACACTAAAAAACAGTATTCTAAACAACTACTTTAGAGATTTTTTTGATTTAATGAATCGAAGGAGTAATTTATTTTATTTTATTATTTTTTAATGAATTTAGGACAGAGTCTACAGGGTCTACAGGGTCTCACTCCACAGATCAGACACATAGTGATCCTCCTGTTTTCAGCCTCCCAAGCACTGGCATTACAGGTGTGTGCCACCATGCCCAGTCTCCATTGTCCTCTCACCACAACCCGGGAGGGCACACTGGGGCTCAAACCCTGGCCTCTGTGCTCTGCCGAAGCATAAGGCAGTAATTTAAACAAAATAGTCCCACAACTTTTTTTGATTTGCAATGTATAATAGCCTTTACACAGGAGTTTATTTTAAAATAATTCCAAAGGAAAATTCAAATCAAGAGTCCTGGCATGATGGCTCAGCGGACTAACCATCTGCTTTGGCAAGCGCAGGGACAAAGGTCTGATCCCCAGTCCCACATGCAGCGCTGGCCCTCCCCCTGGAGGGCACTGAGCCAGCGACCAAGTCCAGGCATGGTAGTGCACACCTGTAGTCCCAGTGCTGGGAAGGCTGAAAGCAAGAGGATTACTGAGTCTGAGCTGCACAGTGAGACCCTATACCAAATACATAAATGAACAAAAGGAATGAAAATTCAAATAAAAAAGAAAGATCATTAAAAGACACACACCACTTTCTGGAGAATGCAACCTCATATCTTCTTGTAGGGTTCAATTTGCAAGTACATGAGAACACATTTGCCCCTGTGTTGTCCTCTCCCATTTCCAAATGAAATAAGCATATATAGGAGCTGTAATTTCTAGACAATGACTGGTAGCTCATTAGCTTGAAGTACAAAACCAGCTCTAGAAGGAGTGCTTATGCGATCCACAAGTTTGCAGATGAACCCAGGATGCGTAGACTGGAACGTGATGGCTCAATTCTCTCTTCGGTTCTCATCCTGTAGCTGTGGGTCAGGACAAGGTCATCCCACAGAGCTTCGCTAGCACATTCACCTGTGCTTGGCTTTGCCACTTCCAAATCCCGCTAGGTCAGCTCTTGGTGGTCATTTTGTTTTTGTCACACGTAATGCACAATCACACTTCACAAAGGACTATGTCCTGCATGGATATTATCCCACCTACTAGGGCAGTCACTGGCAAGGCTGAAGCCACAGGCTAGGTCCTAAGTCTGAGTGCACCTTGGTCTTAGGCATGGGGAAAAAAGCCAGCCTTGTCTCAGGAGCAGCAGGTGTAAGAACCTGCTAGGCCTGCAGAGTAACTGAAGCAACACAGTTTTGTCAGGTCAGGTAGTGCTGGTTGGCTTCTGTCTCACGCCCCAGAATGGCGCCTTTGCTGCCCATCACCCCACCCACATGATAGCTTTTGTTCTTTTCTTTAAAATTCCTACCCCCCCCCCCGCCCCGAGGTCCTTGTGAGTAGCTGAGCCCTTCTGTCCTAGATCTGTTTCCCAACTTTAGGATCATGATCACTCCACGCAGCCCCTGCAGCCCTGGCTGTGCAGAAGCCTTCTGCACCCCAGGCAGGCAGGCCTGGAGACGCCACCCTCAGGGGACACGATGCCCAGTGACTGATGTCCCTTTGCCTCCTAGGTATTGTCCTCTGTGGTATTTCAACTATTGTGAACCACAATCATCCCCTAAAATGTCAGAAAAATAAGACCGCCAAAAATATGAAAAGGGATAAGCACGAAAATGAAAATCAATAGATCTGGCCACAGTGGGAAAAAAGATCACTGGGGTCATCGCATTCTGAGCTCTTTCCATTGCCCCAGGAATGTCTGGTTATTCCTGAAATCCCTGGATTCTTTTACTGCTTTCGGTTTGGATGAACTTGCATGAATCTACCAAAGAAATCCATGTAACAATAAATGGATTTAAAAATGTGGGTCCCTTTATTAGAAGGAACCAAACACTTTTCCATAAGTATAGATTGTGATCTAATTATTAAACCCACATTGATATCAATGGTAAATTAAGAAGACTATATTTGAAATATAATGTGAAAATTAACATTAGTAAGAAAAATTATTATTTAAAAACAACCAACCTTTTTTTTTCAAGGGTGGCTCCTCTATTTCTCCTAGACCAAGACAAAATTATAAATTAGAATTTTTACATAGCATGACAAGGCTTTACTATTTAAACATATTTTCTTCTATTTTAAAAATCTATTATTTTTGACATTCATATTTAGTATATTATATTGTTTCCCTAATTTTAAACTCCAAAGTATAACATTGTTCACATACATTTATTTGAGATAGCTTCACTTTTTGAGGCTAATAAAATTGTGGCAAAGGTCCAAGTTATACATTATTGGTCATTTATCAAATTAATTTCAGTTTCTCTTGCTCATCCTGACTTCTTGCTGGAGCCAAAACAAATATAAATTTGGACAAAGACATAGCAGGTGCTCAAATAGTAAGAGTTTTCTGTTAGCCAAGGTTGAATACATAATCTCTGAGGATTAAAATGTCACTTAAAAGACAGAATCATGGTGCTTTGCTCTTTTCACACCCATTCAATGGAAACTTATTTACGGCTTAAATTTGATATTTCCTTGTAGTCATCAATGTGTAAAAGAGAACATACACATGAACTGTGTAATTGTTTAAGTGTTTAAAATACATTATATCACTTTACATCTTCATTTGCCTCAAAATTCATTCTTTTGAGTATCCTGTTAGCAGCGCTGCTTCTGGCTATTGGACTCTGAAGATGACTCATGTATAAAATATTTATATGCATTTTTAGTGTCACTGTTTTTATTTCAATCGTATTACAGATAAGCTTGAAATCTAGATAACATTTTTCTTATGTGCAAAAATATGAGCGTTTGTTGTGGGTTTATAGTGTACATAATGACTCCCTTTATTATCATGGTACCATAGTGGGGACATTTAATGTTGGCATCTTTGCCCCGATGATGGATAAGCTCCAAGACGAAGATGCAACAGAGACCAATGCACTGCATCTGGAAGCCTACTGAAATGCTCAGTGCACTCAGAAGGGTACTCATTCTGGCTTAGCCTGGCCTGAGTGCTCTTTTGCAGTAAGACCCAAGCAGGTCCCTGGAGGGCATATCTCATGCTGGTCCTAGCAGCGAGAGATGCCTCCACGCCTCTGTACCTTTATCAATGTCCTCTTCCCCGTCTTCCTCTTCTTCATCGCCATCAGATGAGATGATGTCAGATAGCAGAGAAAAGAAGCCATAGATACAGTCTGTGGTTTCCTCAACAGCGTCGTGGACTAGTTTTAAAGGATCTGATCCGATCTTGGCAATAGAACTTGCTGGAAATAATTCAAAACAAAAAGTTCACAATTACCCTCAAAGAAACTCCGAACTTTCTTCCTGATTTTCATGTAAACATTTCTCAGTTGGAAAACTGAAAATTTCTGCCAGGTATTAAAACACTAAAGCGCCTTCTCAGGCAGACTCAGAGACTGGGGTTCATTCCTGGGGTGCCATGCGGGCCCCGCCCCTGAGGTGCACTGAGATGACGATTGAGACTGGGAGTGGTGGCGCGTGCCTGTAATCACAGCACTTGGGAGGGTGAGAACAGGGGGATCATTAGGAGCCCCATCTGTGTAGTGAGATCCTGTAGACTCTACTAAATATGTTAAAAAAATTAAAACGATACCTTGCTATGGTTTGCATATGATGTAAATTAAAAATAACATAGGCCAAATAGCAGAATAAAGCGCTTGCGAGCAGGCACAGTTAAAGTGCCTGTGAATAGACACAGGGGCTGGGGGTTCGATCCCCAGGCCCGCTGTGCTGGCCCCACCCCCAGGGTGCGCTGCGACTGCAATTGACACTGGGTGTGGTGGCTTGCACGTGTAATCCCAGCTCTTAGGAGGCTGTAAACAGGTGGATCACTATGAGTCTGATCCAGTAGTGAGACCCTGAACACCCTGTAGACCCTTCCCTAAAATACAAAAACAAGGAAAAAACTAGAAGTTGCTAGAAACACTGTTGCACTAAACAGTACAGAATTACCAAGAAATAACAGTCTTTAACAAGCCTATACTCAGGATAGGGAAAAATTAGGAATCATCAAAATAGTTTATACTTTTATTGCGCAGGCTGCAAATAAACCCTGAACTATAAGTGTTCATGAATGAGAGCAGTCATGGCCAACCCATGTTGTCCTTTGCGGGGTCACAGAGAAGGTGGCTGTAGATTTTCATAGAGCAACAAGTAGACAAAAGTAGCTACACATGTATGAGGACTGACTAGTCCATTACTATTTGTGATATATTTGGAAAAATCTGGAAGCTAAATACAATTAGGTTGATCTTTATTAGACCTGTTGATTTAAAATTGAGCTCAGTAGTATAGTTGAATAGAGTCAGCACTCAAAAATCAATAGCCTTCCTATCCACTAACAACAAAGGCTCTGAGAGGAAAATTAGGGCAACAACTCCTTTCACAGTAGCAACCAAAAATGAAATAACTTGGGAGTCAATCTAACAAAGGAAGTGAAAGACCTATCATTGAAACTTACAGTTCTCTGAAAAAGGACATTGAGGAGCATTTCAGAAAATAAAAAGATAGCCCTTGCTCTTGGGTAGTAAGAACCAGTATAGTGAAAATGGCCATACTCCCAAAATTGTTATACAGATTTAGTGCTATTCCAATCAAAATACCATTAGCATAACTCACAGAACTAGAGAAAAAACTTCTAAAATTCATCTGGAAACAGAAGAGGCTTAGAATAGCAAAGGCAATCCTAAGCAACAAAAGCAAGGCAGGGGGCATCAATACCTTGAAATTTTACCATGGAGCTGCTGTGATAAAAACAGCATGCTACTAGGAAAAAAAAAAGCAGACCTGAGGATCAGTGTAACAGATGAGCAGACGCAGACACAACTCCAAAGACACTCAGACACCTTATCTTTGACACAGAGGCCAAGTACATGCACTGGAAGGAAGACAGCCTCTAAACTGTGGTGCTGGAAACACTGGGTTTCTATATGCTGAAGGCTAAAATTAGACCCATGTCTATCACCATGCACTAAACTAAAACAGAAATGGATCAAAATCTAAATACTAAAACAGCAACACTGAATTTGCTGGAAGAGAAAGAACTCTTGAAGATGCTAATGTAAGCAAAGACTTCATGAGCAAAACCGTATTAACACAGAAAATGCAATGAAGAATCAACAACTGGGATCTAATCCTATTAAAAAGCTTTTGCGCAGCACATGAAATCACCAAGAGTGAAGGGAAACCTACAGAGTGGGAAAAATTTCAGCCAGTTGTCCTGCAGACAAAGGAATAATATTTTTTCCTCATTTAAAAAAGTATTTTAGATGTTCAGATAATCCCTCCCCTCAGTGTATCTACAATATCAGAATTATGCCAATGTATCATGTCAGGTAAAGGTTAAGGACTCCAAAATCAGGCTTCTACTCTAATTGAGATAGGAAATCATGAGAAGGCTTCAGTTGGAGGATTGAAGGGCTTTAATTCATGAAGCTTTTGGATCTGTATTAAGGATTACAATGGTGTCTGACTGGAAACAGAAGACAACAAGGGACCTAATGATGTAATTCAGAAAACAGATGGTAGTTTGTACCAGGCCTGCAACAGTGTGCATGGTGAAGCGATGTGGTGGGATCCAGAGTACATTTCAATAACAGCGTCTGCTCTCACTGAAGCAGAGATCAGGGTACCCCCCAGGGCTCCAGATGTTAGCAGCTGGAAGGGTAGAAGCAGCATCTACTGAGAAGGCAGAATCCCAGAGAGAAGCAGTTGTTATTTCAGAGATGGAGTTTGGAGTAAAAATATTACCTGACTTTGACAGTTCTCAGACTGACTCTGGGAAGCAGATGTGTGTGATGTGCTGTAGCCCTTTGGATCAGTCTCCAGGATTGTGGAGGAAAACTTCCTGGAAACAGGAAGCTGGGAGTAAACAAAGGATGGAGGGCATTCAAAGCCATGACACAGAATGTGATCACCAAAGGAGGAGCGAGAGGAGCACTTCACTGTTCAGAAGATACAGAGAGCAGGGAGAGGGGAGCAACCAGCAATGACTCCTAGGAGGGAGACACGGCAGGCAGTGAGGAGAAGAAGGACCAAGGCAGTAAAGCATCAGCTGGGCCTGGGGGAGCAAGCCTGTAACCCCAGCACTCAAGAGGATGAAGCAGGAGGATCCTTGTGAGACTGAGGCCAGCTTGGGCTACAAAGTGAGCTCAAGGTCAGCCTGAGCTGCATAGTGAGATCTTGAGATTATGTCTAAGACAAAAGGAACAAATACAAAAGCACTAAACGACCTTGAAGATACACAAGGTGATAACTACTGCTATTGTCTTATTTAATCAATTGTTGGTCTTTTCATAAAAGAAAAGGAAAATTTAATAACCTGAAATCATTCCAAGAACAGGGTGACCAAATGGCCAGTGTGGCTGATAGGTCAAGAAGCTGATGGAGAGGATTTGGCTTGTGGACTTTTACTAGTAAGGATGCGGCGAGGGCCTGCAAAGGGCAGAGCCATGGCCCCCACTCGGCACCAAATGCGAAGGGTCAGAGGCAGGGGCTGCACTTCACTGTGTGGGATGGAGACTGAAGGGTACTGACCAGGCACTGGGCGGCACTCTCTCTTAGCACTGTTATGATGCCAAGGGTAGTCTTCGCTTTGCACTGATGTGTGGAAGGGCTTAGAGAGAGGACAGACGCTACGAGACAGCATGTTCCTGAGGAGAATTTTAATGTTATGCTGTGCTCCCTCTGGGGGCTTGGGAGGGCACCCAGGTCATCCATGACCCTAAATTACAGCACGTGAGGTTCAGGCTAGCCCACCTATCTGTCACTGAAATGTGCCTTCTGTCCTAACACTCACTTTTACTGTGTTCTTGAGAGTTTCATGTGGGGAAAAGATAGTCTGAATGGTGAGATTAAACCCTCGAGAAAAGTAATGAGACAGAACTTTATAATTGCAATTGAGAATTTGAAAAGAATTGTATGCAAGGACGGGGATTGTATTGGCAGCATTAAAAGCACTTTTAGCACTAATGCAGCTTATATCTAGTGGAAGAGAAGTGCAAATGGGGTTTTGATGATTGTAAAAGATGGAGACTCTTTTCTCCTTCCTGTTCTTCCTAAGTGTGAACTGAGAAACTTAACAATAAAATCCAATAAAAATTATCAGTTTAATTACACTTAAGCTTAAAAACATTCCCTGTACCTAAGATGTGTATGTATGCATGTGTGTGTGTGTGGGGGGGTGCAGCCTGGCTCTTGTGCAGTGGAATATTGTCTAATCAGATTTTTTTCATCAAAGCAATGTTGCTGACTTGATGCAGGTTCTGATCTCAATAACATGGATGACGTCTTTAAAAATCTAAACATGTACGTGCATATTCAAGCAAGCTAGTAGTCCTGAAACTGATGGACATTCCTCTTTCAGAACTGATGTCTAAACCATGTCAACATGAAAATATTATACAAGGCAACTAAAACTTTTCTCTATGCCTTCTTTGAAGAGATACGGAGACAATTATACTTACTGTTTATGATTCTTTGAGTCAATATGTACATAATTCTGATAAATATATACATAACAGAAATAACAGTAATCAGGCAACGTTCTAAGATTATGTATATGCTCACAATAATACAATAAAGTAGATGCATTATTGTATTCCTTTTTAAGTCTAATAAAAACATTAATTTTAAAAATATGTCCATATTTATAGAGAGCATAAGTTACCGAGTCATATTTTGCAGGCCTGTTTAGGAGAAAGGTCTTAATTACTCTGTGATACGCCTTCAATCAAACAAAAACATGAATTCACAATTGTTTCTACGATATGACATTGGATCTGCAAATTCTAGGAGGGGATTTCCTTCTCCTAAACATGAGAAACTTTGCTCCCCCAGGAAGATAAAGTCTTCTGCTGCTTCAATTGTCTTGTAACTGTGAGGACAGTAGCTCATTGAGGAAGGCAAGGTTAAAATTGAAAAACTGTATCTCAGTTCATGATGACATTGCTGAGGCCTTAAATCACAGAATCTTGGAATAACCACTGTCCCAGCACTTCTGTAACATAAGACATGGTTCTCAATGTGTAAGTCACTTAATCCTACATTTCTTTTATTAAAAGAGAATAAAAAAATGATAAAAAACAGAAATAATACAGAATTTCAAAGAACAATATGATAGGAATTCAACAATGACTGTTACATTGCATATTGTGGTCTTCAAAGCAGTTGTTCCGATTACCAGATATAACCATGTAAAATTGGTCAAAAATATTTAAGCATTAAGTTTTCCTTTCTATAAGCC